CTTCACTGGCTCCCCATCTCCGCCAGAATCAGCTACAAACTTGCTCTCATCACCCATCAGTGTATCCATGGAAATGCCCCGGATTATCTCAATGAATTACTCACCCAGCAAGCTTCAACCCGGAATCTACGCTCCCAAAACCAATACCTTCTCCACCTCCCCAGAACCAAGCTCTGCACTATGGGAGACCGTGCCTTTTGTTCTGCTGCCCCTGGTCTCTGGAACTCTCTACTCGGCCACCTCAGAGCCCCACGGACAGTGGATGCCTTTAAGAGAGGCTTAAAGACTTTCCTTTGTAAAGAAGCTTTTGACTCGGCCTGAATTTGTTTTTATAATGTTTTAATACATCTACCTTTTTACTGTCTGCTGTAGCACTTTGAGATTCATTTATAAATGAAAAGTGCTTTATAAATTAAATGTATTATTATTATTAATGAATAATGAAAATTATTAGTTGCAGCATTTTGTCTAAAATATATTTGTATGCTGTAACATTAAGATGTGAACCAACTACACAAGAAGTTTGAAACAGCCTCCACTGACACATTTGTCCTGCTGCTCTCACACTGTGTTTGAGATGAAGTTACAGTTAATTCAAAGTGGTGGGTGTTAATCAACGTTCTCCGTCCTCTTCTATCAATGATGGCGAGCCTGGCAACAACCAAAAATAGATCTGAAGGTACATTCTCACACACACACACACACACACACACACACACACACAGAGGAAACAAGAACACACCTCCCATGTGACGGTGCAGACGTGTATAAAGTATGTGGTAGCAGCCTGTGATGTGTCCTCTGTACATCTGGATAATGGCCTCCATGGGAAACACACTGAGTCTCTGTCAGCACTTAACCAGAGCCTTCTGTTACAACTATACGTGCACTAATACATATTGTGTATGTACACATACACACACACACACACACACACACACACACACACACACACACATACACATGCTGCTGGGACCTAATTATAGGTGATTCAATAAATTTATGAGGCTTCCTCAATGGACTGAACAGAATGGCCGGTTCATTTGATTATTATGGTATGGAGCTTCAGTGAATGATGCATCAGTGTGTGCATGTGATGACGTCACCATGTTTGTCCTTGTCAATATGTTGTTGAAGGCTCAGACACGCCAACTGTTGTGTTGCTCGTGTCGACCCAGTCTCACTCTGAAGTCGCTGAGAATCGGCGCTCAGTCAGTGACTTCTGGCGTTAAACACAGACAGGAAAAGACATCCTTTCACGTTGGCTTGATACGCGGCCTGTCGCCGTCATCATGTCAGAGGGAAACAATGCAGGACGACAACAAAAGCAGGACGCCAGTGTTTGCTTCCCATCTGATTCTAAAGCCAAAACCTGTTCTTCTTGCCTGAACCACATCATGTCACTGTGTCGGCTAAACGTAACCACGTGTGTGTGTGTTGAAGGAAAAAAACATCAGTTGGTGGTGTTGTACTGACGTAGTGCTTTTATTTTGAAAGAGACTGTATGCA